GAATCGTCTTTAAGCAATAGCAATTTTTTCTTTTTTTTTCCACGTGTAGTATAGAAATTTGTAATAAAATACATAATGCGGTTATAATAAAATATTGTGTGATTATTTTCATATAATTAAAATTAATATTTATTTATTTTTTAGAGAATACGAGGGAAGCGGCGCTTCCTTCGCTTCTAATGACGGCACGCCACTGGTAAAAAGTATTTGATAGATTTCATAACTTTGCATATGTAATGTGAAAGAGTCCTAAACCTATCATGAAAATTTTTACAGACCACTAATTTTGAATCTCAGAAAAATTATCATTAAATAAAGCAGATTTCCCATTAAACAAAATATTTGTTTCTGTTATAATCACATTATTTTCTTTTCACTTGTATAGAGTTTATTATGTTAAATAAAGTAAAATTTGAAAGCCACTTTTTATATTTTTTTATTACTCGATTTTTATCCTCTTTTGGGAAAAAGGTTTGCCATTGCTGGATTACAGTATGATAAGTACCTTATTCATTCTCCACAGACTTTATTTCATAGGCGAATTCGGAATATTTGCTAATGTTTTCAGTGTGTGTATTTAGTATTTGATATAACTAATATAATATATGTGATTTTGTTTTGTTTGTTAATGAATGCGATATCTGGTTGTTGTGATGGATTGCTTTGTTTGTGATATGTTTTATGTGTTGTTTTTATGACTGTTTGGAATGTGTATTTGTAGTATGGTTGCTGATAGTGTAATTACTTGCAAACTTTTGATATATTATGTTTGCTATTTGGTTATGTCACTGTAATTCAGTCTGTTTATGCTAAAAGCCTGCACCCTGATGTTATGCATTATATAGTTTCATACTTGATTTGGATTTTCTACAAGTGATATGTGTGACTGTTGTCTTTTAAAATGTGCTTTCTGTAATTTTTGTATTCATGACATGGTCTTGTATGGTGATCCCATAATAACCCTTCTGTTTCCAAAGATGCATACATGAGCCAGCCAGCAGTTCGACACAATTTTGTCAATGTGATTCTGGCTGAGTTTATTAGGATGCTTATTGTGGAGTTTCTGAGCTCAAGACTGCCTGATAGTTAATATACATTTTGTATACTTTATTAGATTTAGGTAAGTATTGTGTAAGTTTAATGGTGCATTGTTTTGTCTGTGACAAATCATTACTTGGTACAATTGTGTTTTTTCTTGTTTTTTCATAGAAAAGCTCTTGGAGTGTCTGTAATTTGTTTGTAGTGAAGACTTGAATATATCTGTAAGGTCTTACAGTGTCCACCCTTTTTGTGAAGAATAATAAGCCTTTGTATGGATGACTTAGAGTGGTTTTTTTTGTATTGTTAATATTATTTTCTTTAAATTTGGTTTTACTTTTGTGTGTTTCCAATGCATAATTCCAAATGAATAAGGGAGTACTGGAATGGCATTGTGTTTGATTGTTTTAAATACATGTATGTGTTTTGAATTGAGTTGTGTCCTTAGTGTTGAATCTAATCTGCTGTTAAATTTTTAGAAAGTCTTATTAAGTAAAAATTATTTCTAAAGTTCAAGAAGTAAGAATTCTAGTTTACAAGGGATGGGCAACCTTTTTCTATGTAAGGAACACATTTAAAACTTTAGAGCTGATGCGGACCTCACACGAGAAAAAAAGAAAAAAATTGCAGGTTAATCACAATTATTTATTCATGGATTTAAATTAAGTATACTTAATTTGACTTCTGAAACTGATATGAATGTAATATATCTAAAAGAATTGATTGATTAGTCACTGCTAGTTTTAAATTAGTTTTGATGTGAGTCTGTTAGCTGATTTTTTTTTTTTAACTTTATACTAAATTCATTTCAGAAAAAACTGTTCATAAACATAAGTTGTAGAAAATAATGATAGAATTTTTGTGGAATACTTCCTTAAGGTGGAAAATTGATATATTTTTAAAATATTTTGTGATGCATGCTGCACAAAATATTAATGCCCCAGGGTCTTTGAGTTGCCCACCCCTGGTTGACAGGATTAATACTGATCAATGAATTAGGATACATTTTATATTTTTGCATTTCAGTTAAATATTTATAATAAATGAATGAAAAATACCATTTTTATTTAAAATAACTTTTATATAAACACAAAAAATAAGAAAATAAGCAAGACATTTGTTATGATTATTTTGTGGTTAAGATCAGACAGAACTAGAGTAGACTTAATGAATCTCTCTGGAAAATTCCTCGCTTAATGTATACAGGTATCCCTCATACAGCATGGTTTGAAAATTGGGGATATACCACTTACAACATGACTTCCAGTTTCACTCTAACATGGTTTTGGATATCCTCTGTATAAAATTTCAGAACTTTTAAGTGTAAACTTCATTATTTGATATTTTTTATTCAAGTAAGAATGTGTGTTTTCTCAAATTTGCGCATGGATTTTGGAATATTGACTTTTTCAAATTATTTTGTGCTTTTCATCAGGTTTACTTTAATGAAAACTGATGGGACAAGGAAGAAAAAATTGCACTAACTTTCTTATCAACCAGGTGTCACTGTTGTTGCTTTTAGACTTTAGCCTTTAAAACTGTCACTGTGTTTTCTTTTTATAGATTAATCTTCATATTTAGTAAAGTTTATTTAAACATTTTTAAGTGTTATTAAACTTTTTTTAACTATAGGTAAGCAGTCATTCTTAAAACGAACGAAATATGGCAGTATCTTGGTACTTGAACAATTCAGTATTCAAAACACAAATTCTGGAAAAAAGTTGTCACTTGATACTAGACTGAACAAATGCAACCCACTAGAACAAATATTCAATTAACAGCAATAAAACAATAAACAATAAAAATAATTTCAATATTTTTATTTTGTCATACATAAAAATTTTTATGGTAAAAATAAAAAAAATTAAGATGTTGCCAATATTTCTGATCAAGCTGAGATGATGACAATACTTCATAAATAGAAAATGCCCTGGTTTAACTAAAATTAATATTAATGCTTAATATTAATACAGTACTTTTAATTGTGATTGTTAATTAATTATTGATTGGGAATAAATTATTAATAACTTTAATAAACATATTTCTCTTACTAATGAAAAAGAATAGTATATTTTTGCTAATTTATGGAATGTAACTCTGTTTTGCATTAGTCCTTTGTTTTGTATAGCATGGATTCACAAAACATGACACTTTTTTGGAATGTAACTACAGTAGAGCATCGATTATCCAACCCCCAATTAACCATCACATCGGTTAACCGACCGTTCTAGTCGGCAAATTTCAAATGTCCTCTAGTGATGTGGCATTACAATATTTGGCTATGCCTTGGCTACTTTAATATTATTTTTGTTAAATTTTTGCATGTTATAGCTGGCATCAATAGCTCGACCATTGAAGGGAGGACAGTATTTAAACGAGACTTAATTTCTAATTATGAGTGGTTGTTTGTTTCATGAGCAATAAAACAATTTAAAAATAATTTTTAACAATACAATAGCGACGATTATTATTTTTAAAAAAAATTTGTTAGGCTAAATATCAATGAAAATTCAATGCGAAGTTGGTTAATAGCAATATACTAATAAACTAATTACATGGGATATACTAATATACTATAGTAATGTATTTTTTTCGTTCTTTTCGGTTATCTGATTTTTTCAGTTATCCGACCAACCTGAGTCCCCAATTGAGTCCGATAATCGATTCTTTACTGTACTGTGTTATACAAGGTTACCTGTATTTGTTTGTTTTGATGTAAGTATTGTGAAGTTGGATGTGTAAATTAGTACTATTCTCCAGTTTTGTTGTGTTTTCTAGCAATGTATTGAATGTTACAAGAAGATCTATTTTGTATAGATATAATGTATGCAATAACTATGAGTGGGATGAAATAGAATGTTTTTTTGTAATCTATGTACAATACAGTTCATTAATATCTGTAATTAATTAACCTGTAGATTTTAGTATTGTTCATGTATTATTTGTAGAATGACTGATCTATCAGTAACTGTTTCTTGTGGTTTGTACAATAGTCTTTGTTGTTCTATGAAAATGTTGTATTGATTCTATCGGATGGTGTATTTTGTTTGGGATGCATAAAGTATGTATTTTATAGTGTGTAGGAAGACGTGATTGGTCTGTATTGTGTAGAGTTCTGTTGTTTTTTAGATTTTATGTATGTGATGGTCTAAGAAATGTTGGCATCTTGTGTGATTGTTGATTGATTGTGTAATATATTTAGTTATTATTATTATTTTTTTTTCAATATATAAAAAAAACCGCACCATAAATATATACATATATCTGTTACTTATACAATTTATTTTACTAAATATCGCTTTTGGTAGCTGTTATTATGATCTATGTATGTATGTCTCTTTAATCCGAAATTAAGTTCGGTAGACTATCATTACAGCTTTCAGGTTACACACTTCTTTCATTGGTGCCACATATGCATTTCGGACTTATATAAATGTTAAGTTTCTCTTCAGTGTAATACTATGGTTCTGTCTTCTAAAACCATGGTGTATAATGGGTAACATTGGAAAGATTTTTTAATACAGTAGAGCGTCATTTATCCGAATCAATTGGGGACTGGGGTTGTTCGGATAACTTATTTTTCGGATAACCGATTATGTACGAAAAAATATATTAACCTATCCCGTGTTGAAATTTTTCTCCTTTGCGTGTCGCTTCGCATCGAATTTTCATCGATGTTAAGCCTAATGTAAACTTTTTAAAATAATAATCGTGGCTATTGTATCGTTAAAAATTATTTCTTTATTTTTTTACAAACAAAATAAATATATTGAAAAATATAAATTCAAAAAAAATTATACTTTAGAAGTTATCTAGTATAAAAAACGTTCGATTCAGCATGACACACAGTCCTCAGAACAACACCACACAAAAGTGACAGTGCTGCCAGCTAAAACACATACACAAACATAAAAAAATATTGGAGTAGCCCAAGATATAGCCAAAGACTGCAGTGCCACAGCACTAGCGAAAATTTAAATTTGCCAACTGGAATTATTTTGGATAAACGACGCTCTACTGTACAGCCATTAAAAATTAAGAACTAATTTCAGATTAAAGAGACATACATACATACATAGAACAATTAATTTTAATTTAATTAAATAAGTAAGATAAAAAAAATTATAAGATGATACAAAATAATTTTGTTTCAATTTTATTTCTAAAATTAAAATATAATTTTATTAGCATGCTTTAAATACAACCTCTGGAACAAACTGTTTGAACATTATATAAGAAAATAAAATCATTTAGTTTGAGCTCATTTTACAAGAAAATAAAAATGTAATGGTCAAAACAAAAATGTACATTTTATTCATTGGGTTATTAAGTATTAATCACTTTAATTTCAAATGAATAAACCAAACTATTTCTCCAAAAATGAATTTTTATGTAAAGTAGTATTGGAAAAGTTTTTGAACATACAGGAAGTTGGAAAAAAGTATTTGAACACTGTTCTAAATTTACAGATTTGAGCATTTTAATTTGAGTGGAAGAAATTATTAGCTTTAAGAGGTGTGTTTGCATCATTTTCTAAGTAAGCAGTAATATTTTATCTGTCATTGTTTAAACAATGGCCCCAATCAAAGAATTTAATAATGATGTGAGAAAACAAATTATAAAGCTACTACAAGATGGAAAAAAAACCAAAGAAAAGTTGAAATGTTTGTTGGTGTGTTAGGAATTGTAAATTACACTTTTAAAAAAGGCACAAGACACACAAAAAATTGTATCAGAAGTGGTTTTCCTAAAAACCAGCAAGGATCAAGATCACCTATTGAAAAATGTCTTCCAAACAATTAAATGCAGAATGGATAAAAAATAAAACAAATTTTTGTTACATAACAGTAAGAAATAGACTGAATGAAATGGGGTTTTCATTTGCAAAGCAAAAAAAACCCCATTCTGACCAAGAAACAAAAAACAATCATTTAAAATAGTCTGTCGACAGTACAAAAATTAGACCATAAAGACTGGAAAAAGGTTATTTTTTTAATGAGAGTCATATGCATTGGATGTGGTGGTGATGCAGGAAAATTCATTTGGAGATGTCAGATGAGAAATTTAACAAAGATTGCCTGAATATAAACACTAAGTTTCCAACAAGTTTAATTATTTGGAGATGCATGTCAGCTATTGGGTCTGGAAATATATGTATTCTTAATGAGGCTAATAGCAAAAGTATATGAGGAAATTTAGAATAATTTTTGATTCCAACAATTGAAGATCATTTTGATAATATTGACATTGTTTTTCAGGATGATAATGCCAGATATCATCAAACCAAATGAAATAAAGTATTTTTGAACTCTAAGGGCTTCCAAATGGCCCAAATTGAAAATTATGGCAAAGTTGAAAATGCGGGTTGTTGAAAAGGTACCAACTATTATAATAAAGATGAGCTTAAAAAGTCATTAAAATTAGCTAGAGTGAAATAAATTCAACAAATTAATTTTTACAGTACCAAGATGCATAAAAGATGTAATAAGATCAAGAGGAGGACCAACAAAATATTAACTTCTGTTATTTTGCATGTGATCCTTTTATTATTATTATTCAAATTCTTTTTTGGGAAAATGGTTTGATTTGCTCATTTGAAATAAAAGTGATTAACACTTAATAACCCAATGAATAAAATGTACATTTTTGTTTTGACTGTTACATTTTTATTTTCTTGCAAAATGAGCTGAAACTAAACAATTTTATTTTGTTTTACATATAATGTTCAAATACTTTTTACCAGGTGTTGTAGATGTTTTTCCTTTATAGGTTCTATCTTGTTGCTTTGGACTGTTAATAAATACAGTAGTCCCACGTTATATCGTGCTTGTTGGAAATAAAGCAAAAGCACAATATTACTGAGTACAAAAAATTGTGGGCTTATACTAAACATATTATACATGTGATGAAATCTCTATTCTGTATTCTTTGATCAGCAAGTGTTTCTGATATAAAATAAGATTAAGTTTTACAATACTGAATTTTATTGGTGGTTATATCATATTAAATGACGCATATGTAAACATTGATACCACGAACGCCCATTTAGCATTATTGTTTATTTAACAATGACATTTAAAGACAAATACTGTCCATATAAAAACAAAATATCAGTTGCTATTTTATTATATAGTACTATATTTCATAATAAATTGCTTATTAAAAATTTGTGTAATTTATATTTTTCAATAAAAATCATAAATACAGTAATTGAAAATTTAAAAAATAAATATTGAACATATAATAGAACGTCAAAACTTATAAAATTACAAAGAGTAAAGATTTTTTAAAAAGCAAAATAAAGTTACTACTGTGTAAAAATTTTAGAACTTTCTGTTCAGAAGTAAAGAAATATTTTCCTTACACATTATGCAGTGAATTCGAAATTTCACACCTTTATGTGAATTGAGTCAAAACCATCAATTCATATAAGGTGTGAAATTTTGAATTCACAGAAACTTTAAATGAGGAAACAGTACTTAAAACCACACTGCCCTTTTCATACTGCAAAACAGAAAAACAATTCATTACTTGCCACTAAAACACTCAAAATCGCATAAGACCTCAGCAAAACTATAAAAATAATATTCCAATGGATTCCAGGGCATAGGAGCCACCTGGGTAATGAGACAGCAGATCAGCTAGCAAAGACAGTAGCTTCAGCAAATACTCCAATTATTTATAAAAGAATCCTCCTACAGGAAATAAAAAAGGAAATCAAATAAATTCTTGTGGACAAGTGGCAAAATGAATGGATCAAGTCAGAGACAGGATGCCAAACCTTCTCCTTTATATCCAATTTAATAACAAAGAAAAAAAACAACCTCTTTTTGAATTGACTCAAACTTTAACGGGTCATGGTAACTTCGGATTATACTTGTTTAGATTCAAAAAGGACAATAGTATCTGTAAAATCAACAATAGTGAAGACAATGTTTATCACTTTTTATTCGAATACACCAGGTTTAGTGACAATCACGAGACTCTCTTTAGAGACTGTCTT